GAGGATACATATATATATATATATATATATACATATATATATATATATATATATATATATTGACAGCATTTGAGGTGTATAGACAGCGACTGCGACGAGTATGTCAATAGCATCGTATATATTATTCCTTAAATAATTAATTGAATTATTATATTTCTTTTACTGAGTTTTGCTGCTGTCTTTCTTTTCTTCTTGCTGCTGCAGCAGCAGTTGGGGGCGGCGTTTTCTCTGTGCCTGTTGGTTTTTCGGGCTTTGTTTGCGCAAAAGATTTGCAAGTTTACTCTATTTGCGAGCATCACCTCCTACCCTTCGAAGGCACTTGCTCTGTTGTGTAGGCAAACTCTTACTGCTGCTGCTACTCCTGCTGCTGCTGCTGCTGCTGTTGGTGCTGCTGCTGCTGTTGCTGGTGCTGCTGCTGCTGTTGCTGCTGCTCATACTGCTCTAATACTGCTGCTACTGCTGGTGAATGCTGCTCTACTTGCTGCTAGTCCTGCTGACAGTGCTGCTGCTGCTGCTAATTGTTGCTGCACGTGTTGCTGCTGCTGTTGTTACAAGTGCTGCTGCTTTGGATTTTGTTAATTTTGCTGCTAGTGCTGCTGCTGCTACACATAAGGAATGCTCCTGCTGCTGCAGTACTGCTGCCCTGCTCTTGCTGCTGCAAATGCTGCTGTTGCTGCTGCTGCTGCTGCTTGCAGGTACCTGCCTAGACACCACATTTTGGGTTTATCGAAGTTTTCTCGTATTGTTGAGGTGTATGCACGGCGTTTGCAGCTGCAGGTAATTTGTTTTTGTTTGTTTGTTTGTTCGTTTGTTTGTTTGTTTTCTTTCTTTCCTGCACGCTGCGTTTTCTCTTTTTTTGTTTTCTTAATCTCTCTGTCTTTGTCTTGTTGTCTGTCTTGTCTTTGTGTTTAACTCTCTCTGTCTTTGTCTCTCTTCCTGTTTATCTCTGTCTTTCTCTCTCTTTCTCTCTCTCTCTCTCTCTCTCTCTCTCTCTCTCTCTCTCTCCCTACAATATATATATATATATATATCGTCTTCGTCTTTGTCTTTGTCTCTCAGTCTGTTTATATCTGTCTATTTGCCTTTCCTTATTTTTATCTTTTATTTCTTTATTTTTTGTTTTTCTTTTTTTATTTTATTTCTTTTTCTTCCTGTGCTTTTTTGTTTTTCTTTATCTCTCTTTGTCTTCGTTTGCCTTCATTTTTGCTTTTTTCTTCAAAGCACATTTCTTTCTTAACTGATATATATTTATAATTATTTATTTGTTTATTTATTTATTTTTTTTATTTATTTTATTTGTTATAGGAACGCCTCACTAACGAAATTGCTGATGCTGTCGAAGCCGCGATATCTCCTGTTGGTCTTCTCGTGTTGCTGCAGTGCAGGTATTTATTTAATTCTTTTTTTAGTTTTTTTATCGTCTTTTTGTTTGTTTTATTTGTTTATTTTATTCTTTTTAGTTGTCTTTTTGTTTGTTTTGTTTATTGTATTCTTTTTAGTTTCCTGTTTGCTTGTTTTATTTGTTTATTCTCTTCTTTTTTAATCGTCTCTTTGTTTTATTTGTTTATTTTCTTCTTTTTACGGGTTTTCTTTGCTTTATTGTCTCTTGTCTCTCTCTTTCAGTCTTCTCTCTGTCTCTTTTTATTGTTTGTTTGTTTTATCTCCTGTTTGCCTGTTTGTTATTCCTCTTATTCCCTCTGTTTATTGTCTCTTTTGTTTGTTTACTTTCTTTTGTTTGTTTGTTTGTTTCCTGTGTTTGTTTGTATGTCTCTATATGTAATATATTTCAGTTTGTTTGTATTGCTGCTTAGACAACTATCTAAATATAAAGTTAGATTTAAATATATTTTATTTGTTTCTTTTTTTTGTTTTTATTGCTGCAGACACAGCTGTCTTTCTTCTCGCGGTCTGGGAGAGAATTCTTCTACAACAAAAACCTTTGTCTATAGAGGCAGTTTAAGGTGCGTATTTTATTCTTTTATGAGTGAAAAGCAAAGAAAGTCATGCAGCACATCTGGGGTGTATCGACAGTTAGCAATATCCTTTAATGCTATTTTATTTGTTTATTTGTTTGCTTGTTTAGTTCTTTAGTTGTTTACTTATTAATGAAGGAATAATGTCTTACTGCGTATGCACAGTGCTTTGTTTTCTGCTGTGTTTACACCACACATGTTTGTGTGGTATGTGTATATAATATATATATATATATATATATATAAGTGAAGATATATATATATATATATATATGAAATATATATAATATATATGTATCAATATTGTATTTTGATGCGTGTATGTATCTATATATGAAAGGGCATTTATCTACATGCGTATATAATATATATGTATATATATATATATATATTTGACAGAGACAGAGAAAGATTTGGTGTTGTTAATTGGGTAGGGCTTTGCTGTCTTTTTGTGTTTGTCTTTGCAGGGATGATGTGGCGTTGCAGTCTGCTGCTTTATCTTCTTTGAATTAAATTAAATTTGTTTGTCTCCTTGTCTCATTTGCTTCAGCAGTATGCTGTCTCTCCGTCTCTTTTTCTATTCTTTTGCCGCTGTCTTTCTTTCTTTTAGTTTATTCTTCTCTGTTTTTGTCTTTGTTTGTTTTGTCTTATTCCTTTTGCCTCCTCTCCCTCTATTTGTCTCTGTCTTCATCCTTCTCTTTGTCTCTTCTGTCTTCGGCAAGAGAGAGAGACATAGAAAGAAAACAAAGACAGAAAAAGAAATCAAGAGGGAGGTAGAGAGAGCGAGAGAGAGATAGAAATGTAGCAAGAAAAGACGAAAACAATTTACGGAAAAGAAACAACAAAGAATTCAAAATATAGCAAAACAAAACAAAGATTTGTTCATCGTTTGTATTCCTTTTCTCATTAATAATTGTCTCTCCTTCTATTGCTTTTTATACTACTTTGTGTAGCATGTACATTAACTATACATTATTAACTGTTAACTTGTCGCAGAGAAACAACAAATTTTAATAGAACAAAACAAAAATAAACACAACGCTCTAGTTTGTATTCGTAGGATACAGACAAACAACACTAGGCTTCTTCTTTTGCTGTTAGTGCTGCCGTTTGCTTTTGCTGTCTCTTTTTCTTGTCCTTCTACTCTCAAATGTGTCTGCTGGAGAGGAATATTGAAGCGTACAGATTTTTGTTTTCTGTTTTCTCTATATTGCAATGGGGAGTGGTATTATATGTACTTCTATCTAGTTCTATTAGCTTGCAGGTTGGCTACTGAGGCGAGGCAATAACAGTTTCATAGCCGCTGTCTGTTAGTACAACTATCAAAAGGGTGTTTATTGAATGCTACAGTTACATGTGCAGTTTTCACTTTGCTGCAGAAGCTGCAGCAACAAGAGCTGCAGCTGCAAGTATAACAGCACATATCTTTGTCGCTTTTTCTGCCTCTCGTTGCATCATCAGCGGCCCTAGGCCCTCTGTTGTGCTGCTGTATCGGGGGCGTCTCGAGACTGGAGAGACGATTAGAGCTGCCTTTTCTGAACTCTCTTAGCAGAAATTTGTTGAGTTGGTTGCAGCTCATGAGGGTTCTCGGCTAGGACGAGGCCTTGACGTACGCGCTTCGCTGCCAGTTACTGTTAATGAAGGAGGGTTTTGAAGTATTCGATGAAGGATGAATGGTAGAGAGAAATGCAAAATAATAATCTGGCGAGAAGTATCCGCGGTGGAGTGCTGACGACTGTCTCGCGCGGTGTATGCGCAGCTCATGGCGGCGAGCAAATGGGTATAGTTGACGATTCAAATAAATGGTGGAAAGCGGGGGTAAATTGATGTTTTCTTTGAGTATTCAAGTGTATAATTTGCCTCTAGAAGGCATATATAAAGATGCATATTCATATATTTCCTTTTTCCCTTCAGTCGCTTTCGTCTTCTCGAGTCCGCCTTTGCAGAAACCTGAAATTGAATTTGTTGAATTGACGGGCGTTTGGAGATAAAACGAAGGTCAATTCGGCGCCTCCATGGGATGAAACTGATTAATTTCTTCTGTTTTGTATTTTCAGCAGTAATATAAACGCGATCTTTTCCTGAACTATTGCAGGAACGATGAGGCCGATTCTACCCGAGGGCCCCTCTTCTTCGTTCTCGGAGGGAAAGCTGCACGAAACGGCGTTCCTAGCTAAGTTGCATCTAATAGCTTAGTTGACTACAATTTCAAAACGTATTAAAGAGTGCATTGCGCCCATAGATCTTCTAAAAAGGCTCTTTTTCTCCTGAGTGTCTGCCGGTGCCGGCAGACGAGCAGCAAGGTTATTATACCACATCATCTCGAGGAGCATCATTCCTGCAGCAGTTTCTCTTTTTTCCCTTATAGTTCCCGCATCAATTTGTTCATTGCAACAGAAATCAATGCTCAAGCTGTAAGTACACCATTTCGTCTCTTAGGCGCCCACCCCGAGGCAGCTCCAAGCCCTAGAAATACACTTTTTAGAGAAAAGCGTGTCTGCGCTGCTGCTGCAGCAATAGCAGCAGCAGCAGCTCTAGCATCACCAGTTGCTGCAACAAGAGCAGCAGCACTAGCAACGCCAAGAACGCCAGAAGCAGAAGCATCTGCCGCAGCTGTAGCAGCGACGCCCAGGGGTTCTTTCAGGGCGTATAAAGTGCAGAAGAAGCTAAGGGATATTACTTAGTACACCTTTGGTGCTGCAAGGATTGCATTTAGCTCTTATTGAGTCATTCAGCTCCCCTTTCTCCTTCCTGTGTCTCCCCTGCGCTTGCCCTGCTGCTGCTGCAGCACAGAGCAGCCGCTGGGGCAGCAAAATGCTCGGTCTTCTCTCTCGACACGCAGCCGAGTCGAAGCGTCAGCAGCAGCAGCAGCAGCTGCAACAGCAGCAGCAGCAACTGCAGCAGCAGCAGCAGCTGCAGCAGCGTGGGTCTGTCTCCGGATATGCAACACCTCAGTTAGGTGTTGCCCCTGGGGATCTTCTTCCCTATGGACGTCGCGAGCTGCCTTCTGCTCTTGCTGCTGCAGCAGCAGCCTCTTCTGTATCTCCCTATACTCTGTCTTCCTCTTCATCTCCCTGTCAGCTGAATGTACACCCCATGCGGGCCGTCGGTGCTGCTGCTGCTGCTGCTGCTGCCTTCTCTTTAGAGGCGGCGATCAACCAGGAGACAGAAGGAGCAGCAGCAGCAGCAGCAAATCAAATTCCAACAACAAAACAAGCATCGACTCCGCAGCTGCGCTCTCCTTCCTCTCAGCCCGACTGGCACCCTAACGGCCCCCACGCTGCAGCAGCTGCTGCAGCAACTGCAGCAACTGCAGCAGCCGATGCACTCCCAGCAGTAACCGCAGATGCAGCAGCAGGAAATGGAGTTGTACGGTGGGATTGGGCAAGGAGGCGAGTGCATTCAGAACCTCCTTGGGGGGCCCTGGGGTGTACAGACAGCTCACCGTCGCAGCAGCAGCAAAAGGACAGCCTCGAGACATACAGAAGTCTCTTACGGAAGGAAGGGGTAGGCAGCAGCAACAGCAGCAGCAGCAGCAACAGCAGCAGCAGCAACAGATGCAGCAGCTCCAGTGTCTCCTCCATCTTTTGTTATTATTTAGTCTGTCTTCGTATTTTCTGTTTAGCGGGAGTTGTTTTTTGTATCGGCTCACAGGCTTCTACAAACACATAATATATATATATATATATATATATATATATATATTATTTACATATATATATAGTGTTTACTGTGTATGTCATCTCTGCTGCAGTCATCGAGAGGAGTGGAGTATCTGCCGCCTCCTCCTCGCTCTTCTACAGCAACAGCAGCAGCAGCAGCAACAGCAGCAGCAGCAGCAGCGCCTCTCCTTGATCGATCCCGGCTAGCGGGTAGCACGCAGCAATCAGCGTCTGTGCTGCTGCTGCAGCGGCAGAGAGAAGCCATGGAACTTATGCTTGACGCCCACAAACAACACGAGGTAAACCTCAACCCTCAGGGTTTAGGGTTTAGGGTTTAGGGTTTAGGGTTTAGGGTTTAGGGTTTTGGGGTTGGGGCCGATGTTCTCTGGCTGAGGGCCCCGGCTTTGAGGCAAAAGGCATAGGAGATGAAGGCAGAGTTAGCCGCATCGAACTGAGGGTTTAGGGTTTAGGGTTTAGGGTTTTAGGGTTTAGGGTTTAGGGTTTGGTGTGCATTTTGCAGAGTGCGGTGTTGTCATTGCTTCGGAGTTTGGAGTTATCGCGCGAGGAAAAAGACAGAAGAAGAGAGGCCCTGGCGAAGCGTCTTGTAGTAGTAAAGCCTAAACCCTAAACCCTAAACCCTAGCCTCAGTTTTCATCCCTGACTGTCAACCTTCGTTTTCTTCCCTAGCCCCAAAAACTATCGTCGGCTCCAAACCCTAAACCCTAAACCCTCGCCGGTATAACAGCCACTGTATGAACCCCCAGCCATCTACACGAGCAACGCATGATGCCAGAACTAGGGTTTAGGGTTTAGGGTTTAGGGTTTAGGGAGTTGCTGCTGCTGCAGCCGAGGCCCCCTCCGCCTCCTTTAGTTCCTATGCGGTTTGGAAGGAGCTTTCGTACTCGTTGTACTTCAGGTTGGTGTTTGTCTTTATAATTTTTTATTTTTGTTTCTTTCTATTAGATTATATTTCTTCTTTTTGTTTTATGTTTGCCTCTTTGCTTCTAATTCTGTTAGGTTTGTTTGTTCTGAGGTGATTGCTGCTGTTCTTCTGTCTCTTCTGTCTTTCTCCTTTCTCCTTTTGTTCTTGAGTTTTGTTTTGTTTGTTGTTTATATTCTTTGCTTTCTTCGTTTGTTTGTTTTCGTTTTCTTCTTTGTTTATTGTTTAGGGTTTAGGGTTTTGCTTATTTTGTCTTCTGCTGTCTTCTTTGTCTCTTTTCTTCTTTTTCTTCTCTCCTCTGTGGGCTGTCTCTTCTTTTTCTGTCTCTCTATTTGCATGCACTAGCTATTGTGCATTTTTATCTGTCTGCTGAGGAGTTTGTTTCTTTTACTTTCTCGTCTTTTGTTTTTATTGCTTTATTATTTTTTATTGCTTTTTGCTTTGTCTGATGTCTTTCGTCTTTTGTCTCCTCTTCATTTCCCTCCGTATCTCCTCCCTTCGCTGTCTCTGTCTGTATATCTTTTGTTTTTGTTTCTTCTTCTTCTCTGTCTCTCTCTTTGTTATTTCTTTTTCTTTTATGCTTATATATGTATTTGTTTATTTTGTCTTTTACTGCCTGCTAAACAGCTGCAGTTAGTGTGCATGCATTTCTTTGCTTTTATTTTTACTTGTTTCTGTTTATTTTCTTTCTTTTTTCAGCAGAAGAGATAAAAGCAGCAAAACGCCTCTTCAAGTCAGCAGACAGAGATCGTCTCCTCATTGAAAAATTTAATATTCCTATTACGGTGTACGTACACCAGAAGTATTCCACTTCTCTGTTTCTGCTCTTCTCTTTCTCTGTTTTTCTCTGTCTTCCTTTGTTTCTTTCTGCTTCTTTCCTTCTCTCCCTCAATTTATCTATCTATCTATCATACATGCATATATATATATATATATATATATATATATTTCTCTTGTTCTGTCTTTCGACTCTTCTTCTGTTTTGCCTTCTTGTCTTTTTGGTTTTTCGTCTCTGTCGCTTTCTTTTTGTCTTTTGTCTGTCTTTTCTCTTTGCCCGTCTCTCATTTTTCTGTCTCGCTTCGCGCTGCTGCATTTTGCTGGAGCACTCCTGCTGTTGCTGCTGCTGTTGCCGCTGCTGCTGCTTTCCGTGGTGAGTGAGCAGCAGCAACAGCAGCAGCAGCAGAACAGGCGGCAACAGCAACAGCAGCAACAGAGAAGCTGAGATACAAAAGAAGAGAGAAAGACAACAGACGCAGAGACTTCCAGCAGCAGAGACACGAGATAGAGACAGCGAAAACAGCTGCAGCAGTTTCTTTCTCTGTATTCTTTTGTCGGTCATCTCCCTATTTTGTTTTAATGAATTGTTTTTATTTTGTATGGTCTTTGTTTTTATATTTTCTTCTTTGTGTATGGTGCTCTTCTCATTCTTCCGTTCATTCCCGTTTTATCATTTGCTGTTTACTTCTCTTCTCCTCTTTTATATATTCATGTTGTTGCTTTCCTTTACAGAGAAACCCTTAGCTGCTTAGAAGGCTCTAATTGGCTCAACGACGAGGTTATTAACTTCTACCTCAACATGCTGCAGGTGCTGCAGCTGCTACTGCTGCTGCTTCTGATCTTACTGCTTCTGCTCGTACTTGCTGCTGCTGCTGCTACGATGCGCTGCTTTTCGTTTTCCTGTTTCTCCTTGTTAGGTGCTGTACTGCAGTTTTCCCGTGTTGCAGCTTCTTGCTGCTGCTGCTTCTGCTTCTGCTGTTATTGAGTGTGGCTGCGTGCTGTTGCTGCTGCTGCTGCTGCTGCGTATTGCCACCTTTCTCTTGTTGCTGCTGCTGCTTCTGTTGAACCCCCCGTTTTTATTTTGTTTATTCGACTTTTGCCTTTTGTTTGTTTTTAGGAACGCAACGCCAAACAACTTGAAAATGGAGAGGAGTGCGGAGCACACTTAAACCCTACTTATCCCTTTTTGCATCAATTGTTTTTGTGTGTTTGTTTGTTTTTTCTTTTTGAAAATATTTTACATGCATGCAGATTCAGCTGTATTTGGCGTTCCCTCCATTCGTTCTTCTTCATACCCTGTTGTGGTAGTTTGAGGTTTGTTGGTTTCGTGTCTTTCTCCTTTTAATTATTTGTTTTCATTTGTTTTGTTTTGTTTAAATCGTTCAGCGTTTGCCGTTGTTTTTTCTTTTCCACTTTCTTTTACGCCAAACTCGCGGGCTCGGGAGGAAACGAAGAAAAGTCATACAACTTCGATGGCGTTCGGGTGCGTGCTGTGCGCTGGACATATTCGTTCTTTAGTCTTTTTCTTCGTTTTTCGGATGTTTGTCACGATTTAATTTGTTTTTAGAGAGTTTATACGCATTTGCCAGGGCATTAGGATGCTATTGATGCCAATAATATTGAGCTTTTCCGCGAAAGTACACGAAATCTGCGGATATTCAAGTTGAGTTTCTTCTCAGCGTCAACTTGGCTGTGAAAACACGCAAAAAGACGTTTCTACTTCGGGCGCTTCCTTGTTGAAATATCGGCGATTGGTTTTTTCTTCTTTTCTGTTGTTCAGAGATGGACGCGACGCCAGAAAGTTGATTTGTTTGAAAAGGATTTAATTTTTATTCCTTTGCACCTCGGGCAGCTGCACTGGACGCTGGGCGTTATTGACATGCGGTAGGAAGACGCTGCGTTCTGCTTGTTTAAGAGAGAAAGAATATTCTAGAGGTTTTCGTTTGTTTTTTGCATGCAAAAACAAACAGATCAGCGGACGCCACCCTTCTCAGTTGTCCATAAGAGCTCAAAACAGATACCAAAAAGAACGACAGAGTCAAGAGGAAAGCTTTTAGAAAACATAGGACCGCCGTAGAAAGCAAAACAGATTATTAAAAACAAGGAATTGGACAGATTTAGACAGGCAAAGAGCAGAGGAAAATACCATTCGCAGCCGCGAATGCATGAGTAACGCCGTACCCAAATAATATTTTCTTTCGTATGCTTGCCTCTCCTCTGCAAACAAAGAGATGAAATTCAATAACAGATCGGTGAGTATGTGTCTGTGGAGTCTTGCTATTTGCTGTTTCTGTTTTTTGCTGTGTGTTTGCGACAGAGAAGGAAAAGAAAGTATTCGGTTTTTTGATTCTTTAGGAGGCCGCCACAAACCTCTGGCCTGGCGATTAAGAAAATACCTCCAAGATGAGCACAAAGACAAAAAAGGTACAGCCAACCTTCTTTCTAAGCTGCTGCTGCCACTGCTTTTGCTGCTGCTGTAATGGGCCCCATATGCTTCGGCCTCGAGTGCCTACTGCTTCCAAATCTGAGGGTTCCCTGCTGCTGTCCCTGCTGCTGGTAATGCTGCTGCTGCTAATGCGGCTGCTGCTAATAGTACTGCTGCTAATGCTGCTGCTGAATGGAACAACTGCGTCTGTGCAGGCACTGCATTAGATGAGGAAAGGGAGTGGTATGCCAAACCAAACGGCGAGCCGGAAGTGAGTAATTCCAGTGTACATGCAGCGGGTAGCTGGAGTTGCCTAAAATGCGGCTTAGGATCTGTATGTGCATGTGGCCAATTACGTAGGTGTGGATGGCTGTGGCTAGCTCAGCCCAGATAGCTATGGGTGGATGCGCCCAGATATGCCTAGCTGTGGCTAGCTGTGTCTATCTGTGTCGCACCAGCCACAACGCGTTCTTGTGATTGGTGTGCATCCTTGTGATGGTGGTTGTGCTGCTGCTGCTGCTGCTGCTGCTGCAGGAAGGGGCCCCTCAGCAGCAGAACGGGTTTGACTGTGGGGTGTTTTTGTGCCAAATGGCGGAGTGCATTTCTGATGGCCGCGCCTTCGACTTTGAACAATCGGACATTGCAAACATCCGCCTCAAAATGGTGAGCTGGGCGTACATCCCAAATGCAACGAAACAAATAACGGTGCCTCTAGAATTTATAGAAAGAAGACTGCACTGCTTCTGCTGACGTTGCTGCTGTTAGAAGCGCTTGAAAAAGGTGCATGCATTTGCTCTAGCAAGACAGGCAGCACACTAGATATGCATGCAGAGCGCAGGACTGCACCAGGTAACATTCTACAAAAAAACATAAGGGACCGCCTTTCCGTTGCTGCTGCTGCCGCTGCTGCTGGTGAATGGCTCAGGCTTTAGACATAACACGCGGTTCCATAGACTTTTGATTTGTGCTGATGTTCGATTGGAGTTGCTGCACTGCTGCAGCAGCTGCTGCAGCAGCAGCAGGCGTCCCATTGACGTCAGTGGCTATCTGCCTTGCGGGAGTGTAGTATTCTTTTGTTTTTTCCTTTGGATTTTCTTCTATCTTTTTTAATTTTCGAAAGCCTAAAAGCCGAGTCACGAAATAATGAGGTGTGCATACACCCATAGTTTAGTGATCAGAGATGAATAATAAAGGAAGAGAAATTCAAAGGCGTCCATCTCAATTGCTGCGTTTCGGCGAGCGAAGAGCAGAAAGAGTTACAAAAGGGAGACAGAAATCAAACAGAAAAGACAGAAAATAGTGAGAAATGAGATAAAAAGAGAGAACAGGGCTAGAAGAGAAACAGAGAAGAGAGATAAACGATATAGAAATGAAACAACAGAAGAGCAAAACAGGCAGCAAACGGGGACAAACGAGGAAACAAGCGAACAAACAAACACACAGAGAGAGACAGAAAAGAGAGAGGAAAAGAGTTAGACAGAAATACAATTGAACAGATTTTAATCAAGCAAACAAATAGCACATCGTAAACAAAAAAACGAGAACCCCCCCCAGCCGCTGCTGTCTTTCTCCCATTCGTCTACAACTGCATACAGGACAGTGTTTGTTTATAATGCAGAAATGCAGCAATGAATGCAAGTGCAACGAGCCCGCAACGAGCAAAAGTATTCGTTCGTGGTCGTTTGTATAAAGAAGGAAGGCCGTTTGTTTGTTGTATTCGGCAGCGAATAAGTAAAAGAATACACCAAAACAAACAGAAGCCCCCAAATGTACAAGTAGCATTACTTAGTGCTACAAAACACAAACGAAAAAGAGCAGCAAAAAAAAGGTTCTTAAACCCTTGCAAAGAAATGAATTTCAAACCGATTGCAGAACTCCGCCCGCCTTACACTTCTGTACAAACAAATGCGACAACTAGTCGTATATATATATGGATGTGTGTGTATATTTGTATAGATCAATTCATCTGTATATACATTTGTTAGTATTTATGAATATTTATAAATGTAACGCGCGTATAATGCGTTGGCGTTTGTTAGTTCAGTGGCTCTATGCGGAACCGCTTTCTCCCCGCCCTAAGTCTGGACCCGATGTCGTTCCCTGCAGAAAAAAGAAAGAAAAACAGAAAAACGAAAATAAAACAAAGAATAAATACGTACCTATTAACATGGTGTTTCATTTAAACCCTGCAATTGGTACTGTCCTCCTTACCCTAACTTTCTATGCCTCTACACTACACTACAGACGCTCGTTGTATTTTCCCTTGTGTTAACGTATTATATTCGAGTGTATACACAGCTGGCTTGCTTAGAGCCAAAGCTGCTGCTCTCCTAACTGCATTTATTTCTGTTCTCCTCCTCACCATCTAGCACCAAAGCAACACGGCCCAGCGCCTCCGGTTCTCCCGCCTCCACCCGCTGTACATCGATCGCCGCAGCGGTGTTGCAAACAGAAAAAGAATAAATTGAAAATTATTAAAGACGAAAACGGAATCAATATAACACTAATAATGGACCAACTATAATACAAGAAGGCTACAGCATGCATCCACTGGAAAGTGCAAGAGAAGAAGTAAAAAATATAAACAGGGCATAGGAACTGCATACACACAAATGCTGTTGAGCTGCGCATACAGTCAAAACCCTTCTGCTACGAATTAAAATATACAGATCTTCATAAAGCCCCCGGTCTGCTTACGTTCCAAGCTTCGGATAGAGCGGCAGCAAGGATAGCTGTAGAAAGAAAGCAACAAAGCAACATAACACAGCAGCCGTGCATGCATGCAGCCAGTCGAGGAGAATATACACTGCATACGCACATAGATAAGCATCAAACAACAGGAAAACAAGCAAACAGAGAGACAAACAAACAAGCAAGCAAGCAAACAATCCAGGAAAGCAAGGGCATCTTCTGCATAGTGCAACTACGCCCATAAGAACCATCAAAGGCACCTCAAATTGAATTTAAATGAAAACAGAATGAGCAAAAACTCACCAACAAGAGTAATGGCAGTCGGGCAATTCGGCGCCTCCCGACGCCCCGGCACATTCCGTACAAGAATAAATGCTTCCCCCCGGCATAACTCCAGCAAAGCACGACGAGCTGCACATACACCCCAGAAACAGCAGCAGCACCAGAAACGTCAGCTGCATCAACAGCAGCAGCAGAAGCAGCAGCAGCTCCTGCTGCAGCTACTGTTGCAGCATTGACTTGCACCAACCCTGTTTTCCGCATGCAACTGTGATCGAATGCAAGAAAATGCACGCACGCGCACAACAACCCCCTTACCTGCTCTTCTGAGGTCTAGCAGCTGAAGAGAATCGGGGCGCCGGAAAGCGAATTCTGCAGCAAAGAGAAAAGGCAAATCAGCAAACGCATGCATGCAATGAGCAATGAAGAAGAAGAGAATGAAGCATGCAAGCGGGAATCACGGCTTGCGGCCTTCTCTCTCCCTCTCTCTGTCTCTTTTTCAAGTGCAAATGCCCTGACGCTCAGCAGTTTAAAGGGTTTACCATCCGGAAGTTCCTCCAAAAGACAAATCCACAGGTCCTCCTGAAACCAGGAAAAAAGAAGTGATGTTGCAGTCCCTAAATAAACCACTCGTGGCCCCCCAAAAGTATGTACACCGATATATAAACGCATATACATATATATGTATATATATATATATATATGTACACTTATTCGCGCTGTATAAAAGCAAATAAATACACAAATATGCAAATACGCATATTTACATCTTCGCACTAGTAGCACACAGAGACAAAAGACACGTTCACTATAGATGTGCAGCATTTGGAGATATTGCATTGGCCATACATCAACAATGCATTTGATTGTGCTCGGCTTCTGGTATGGCATTTGTATTATACTGGGCACCTTGTACGCTATGCACATTCCTGTTATTGTTATATTATTGAATATGTATTATACTCCACAATTGAAGTCTTCTATGGTGCGTACATTCCCCCTATATTTTGTATTTTATACTATTCGCCGCATCGAAATGTTTTTCACCGCCATCTTCAGAAAACGAATTTGCAATGATGAAGATGCGGCCCTTTCGGAAACACGAATAAACACAGCTGGCTGCTTTGTGCATGCAATAAACAGTAAGCAACGCAAATGATCAAGAATGTAAATACCATTATATATTTGTTTACCTCTCGTTTCCACATTTTACAGTCCACTTCCACTGTGGAATCCGGCGAGAACTCCAACAGAACTTGCAAAGCGGAAGTCGGTGTGCCGATCTGCACGTACACCGCAACACCAGCAGAGGGAAACCTCTACGATCCTCCGGTTTTCAGGAGCTTTTTTGGTAATTTAAAGCACCAGCTTAATCCATTTTATGTTTCAAATTCAACTAGCCGCACCTGGCACGAAAAGAGCCAAGGCGCAGCGAGCGCCTCCTCTGACTCGAGCAACTCTTGCACAGCTGCAGACAGAAAAAAGGAAGGCAAGAAGATTATGGTTTAAAAGGTGAAGCATGCATTCTCCAGACCCGAAGTCATATTTACACTAGAAAGCAAGCAAGCACCAATGTGGAGAACAAAGAAAAATGAGGAAATGTAGAACACCGAAACCCAGCAAATCTCCACCTGCTTTATCTCACCGTGTCTACCCGTGTGGGCCTCGGTTTCGAGGTCCGGCACATCTTTTAAGCTTGCCCCCTTTTCAAATGCATCCGTCAGCGACACTACCTGATGCTCCAGGCGCTGCACCCTCCGCTCAAGCCGCATCCTCTCTGAATCAGAGCAGCAGCAACAGCAGTAGCAGCACCGACAGCAGCAAGCACAGAAGAAAGCAGAGCCCGTAACTCTTTGTTATTCTCTGAGCTTCCACTGCTCCCCAAAACGCAGAGGCTAATAAACAAGCGAGTGAACGTATGGTTCAACTTGTAGAAGGAAAGAAGCAGAAGAAGACAAAAAACACAGCAAGAAATATTTTTTTGCAGTGGTCTTCTCGCTTGGAAGAAGACACTACCCAAATCCAACAACCATTTTGGGCAACGCCAGGCAATAAGAACAACTCCGTAACGAACCAGCAACAGCAGTACCAGCAACAGCAACTGCAGGACCCGCCACCATACCTTTTTCAGCAGCTTGTAGTCTTGCATTTAGCTCGCGTACAATAGCCAACAGAGGGTCATACTTGGTGACGACAAACGTCTGGAGTTCGGGGGAGAAAGGACTCGAGTTTGAAGGCGTTCTCCCCGCCATTTGCAATTCACATTTGGCTGTTGTTGTTTACTTCTTGTTTTTACTCGTTTCTTTTTCGCGGCATTCTCCGCATCTCCTCAGTGCCAGGCGGCCCGAGGCAGTAAGAACGGCAAAAGCAGCAAAACCCAACAAAAACAAATCAAAAAGGGCAATTAAAAGCTAATGAATAAACCGCTGTGCTGATGCGGAACAGAAGAAACCCCAGAGGCTGAGAAGGGATGCTATATCAGTGCATGCAAACGCTGTCTGTACACCATACGAGTGAATCGGGCTGGAAATAAGACAGAGTAGACTGCATAGAAGAGTTTCATTCCAAATGATTTCACAAACTTTTCCTCTTAAAGCGCATGCAGCAAGCAACAAGAGGCAATGCACACTGCAGCACACTGTCAGAAGGAGGCCCAGCGGACAGCCAATAGCCATGACCAGTGCAAAGCCGTACAAATCAAGTCTGAAAATATTTCCTTCTTTTTAATTTATAATAATATTACAACTAAATTAAAGTTATTTTATGCATATTTGCATTAATTACCTCAAAATATACCCCAGAAGAAGCTGAAGGTGGGAAAAAAGTGCGCTGTGTACAAGGCTCGATGACGCCTTCAGGCTGACCGACGGTTATTAGCGATTCCAGATTCAGAGAAATAGATAGGAATTTATATTCCGAAATAAGAATTGTTTTAAAATATATTTATGTCTAACCCATCAAATAGGGTTTAAAAGAATATTTTCCCTCGACTTTCAGAATTTATTTACCATCCGTTGTAGCACGTGTCTAGACAGCCCAGAGCGTAAAAAGCTTGAGGAGTTGGCGTTTTCCATCCCTTCCTCCTTATTTATAGAAAAGTATAACCACTTTTTAAAGAGATTCAACTTTAAATAAGGGCTGCTCTCGTTGCGGGGCTTAGCCCAACATATCACGACAGGTATGTACCTCCTGTAGTCGTAACTTTTAAAATTTATTGAAATCTTAAAAGCATATATTTCAAACTCGGGTGAGGTGCTTCGCATTACATTGCATTAAACCCCATGTCCACTGCATTGCGAGCCCCCGTGTACGCCGGGTGCACAGACGAAGAAAGCGCCAGCTCGTTTTTTCTTCCGCAAATGTTTGGCCTTTTTCTCCGTCATCCAAGCATTAAATAGAAGGGAATAAAACTGAAATGAATCGAATTTAGGACGGGGGGTGTAAACGGGCAAAAAGCCAACTTTAGCGCGAGCAGCCTCTGCTACCTTTCCTCATTCGTGCAGTGAACAGCGTTCTGTGCTGTTACTACTTTTCAAAGCTGTACACACCTCCGTGGTGAATATCACATATATATATATATATGCATATATATTTGCATGACTCAGAGCATAACCTTTGGATTGACCTAAAACTACCGAAGGACAGTCGCTTACCTTTTATAGAGGCACCATTTCCCAAGGATCCAACCAATCCTCCATAGGTGCATGTTTCCGCCGGGCGTTTAGTATGTTCCCTCCAAACTAAGAGATGCTAGTGCTTGATGCCCACGCCCCCTACATCCATTGCAATCTACAAGCCTCCGTTGAGACACAATCTTTTTATGTAGACTACCATTAGACTCCATTTGCCCCGGATAAGTCCTCCTCGTAGATCTCATTGCTCTGAATAAGCGAGCATTTCTGTCCCAACACTCCAATGCATCCAATCTGCACTCAAAATAAGCGGCCAGACTTTTTGCTGCCCCCTTCTAGGCGGAATGCTGCGTCCGTCCATCATGTGTAATGGTAATAGCGAGAGCTATTTCGGAGGGTAGCTTCGAGCAATAAAAGCCAACCAATTCTGCTTGGCTGGCCGTTACTCCACTCTCCACTACCTCTATAAACGGCTTTGTAAACACTGAATGGTCTCCTAACTACTGGATCGTGGCTATTTCTGTCACCACCAACGCGCTTCAGTTCACCTCATGGCAGAATCATTCCCGCAGCCGTTCCCTTACCAATTCCCAATTCACCAAATCTATGGTTTTCTAGAGGTACATCCAGTACCGTAGGGCTTGTCCTGCTAGGTGCCCCATGAGTTCGCTACCCGATTTTGACCCTGCTTTATCTGTGTGAAACTCTTCCCGCTGCGAAGTAGTAAAGCTTCCATCTTCCAGCCTGAGCAGTGGAGACGTTTTAGGGGTATTATATACTCTAAACTGCTCTAAACACGTCCTTTAATGTGCCCGTTTATATAGGGTGTATACACTCCCTCCCAGGAAGGGGGCATGCAGCTAAGGGTGTTGGTTCCTTTTGCCCCTTATGTTGTTCCAATGCACTGGCTATCAACTGATCAGCCCTTTAGACCGCGGGCGTTACGCTAGGTGGGCGGTGAGTGACAATTTTGGTTTCTGTTTCTTCCTGCGGTTCGATGGCCTTTCTGTTGTGTAGGTGCTTCACTATATTGCCTCTGGACAATGACGGTAGTGGCAGTTTTTGCTGACCTCTCCCCTCCAGGTTCAAACAAATTCCTGGAACAGCAACCAGATGCAGTGAATAGCCCTATTTGCTGTTACTACGTGTAAACCCCATACACACCTACTTGGTGTGCACCCGATATATATACGCTGCATTCAGCGTATAACCCCAAAGAAGAGTCTCTTCCTTTTTATCGGTGTCCAATTATTCCAATTATATATCCAGTAATATATATGATTGCCCCTGGGTGTGGGGCTGGATAGCTAGATGGCATAGCCATCCTCATAGCCAGCCCAAAACCCCGGGTTACAGCCGACCACTCTGAGCCTGATGGCCTTGTTTTCTATCCAGAGTGATTTGATTTAGTTTTAATAAGATATTATTTGCTCTTGTTCTGCCAGATTAGCCACTAGAAGTGTAATTTGTGCAATACATGTCGGAACGAAAGCTTTAAAGCCAGAAAATGCAGGTTTCAGCAAATACTGCAAAAACAAAAACAGGGAAAATAAAATAAATTAAAATAAATGGATTTGGAAGCAGACCGAAATATCTCCAGCAAGAACAGTCGGCAGCCTCCGAACACACCAATGCACAAAACATTCCCAACTTGTTGAAATTCACGTTTTAGGGGTTGCATTGCTGAGCCATTGCAGCAAAATATTATTTTTATTTTGAGCTAGCAGCGTCGCCTTTTGACATAAAAAATAAAAAAAAGTAGGCAGAGGGCTGGCAGGCAAAGTGACGACAATCAACCACAACCTCAGCCAAGGACAGTCGTGTGCTGCAAGAGAACCAAAATGCCTTCTAAGAGATATTTCCTATTAGCAGTTTTAACGCCCTCTTCTGTTTCCAGAGACACTCGGCGCAGCGAAACAAGGAACTGAAGCCGAGATTGCAGAGAAAAGGCAGATTCTGTCATGAACTGCAGCACTTCTTGCTACAACTCCAAAGGCAAGCATGCCCATGCCCCTGAAAATGCATGCACTATCACCATAGATGATTCTTAATCAGTTACGTAACCCTCACTAGCCAGTGCGCACTCAGTAATAGAAACGCGTGGACCAACCTCCAACAGCCTGTGCTGCATCATCCCCCCTTCTCTCTCCAAACTGCGTACGCCCGCGTGTGCCTACTCGCGAATCAAGGGCTGGGTATACCCAGAGCAGACAAGGTGGTCACGGGAGGATCGAGACCACCAAACGCAGAAAAGGAAAAATAACACAACGGGAAAAAGCGCGGGTAACATGCTGCAGGTTTGCTGCTGCTGCTGCCTATCGCATGCCGCCTCAGCAGGGTTACCCAGTTGCGCGGTCATGAGTCCTGCAAGGCGCTCTGCGCTGTGGCCCAGGGTTGGTAGAGGCACTTTAAGGCGGGCTTCCCAACCGACGCGTACCTTAAGATATCGCTTGAGACGGGGGTTGCTGCAAGTTGCAAATGAGAGGATGCCCCCCAAATATGCGAAAAATGAAAGTGCTGTCTGCTGCAGTGACTCGATAGAGATGCATAGAGGGAGGGGAGCAGCTCGCAACAGAAAAATGAAAGGGCCAAGAGAACACAGGGTAAGGCTCCTCTATACACATGGAGTAGAAACTCTCGTGTGAAGGTTATTCGAGGCTCAACGTTCGCCTGTGCTCTGCACGCCAACGCTTGTTTCTGGTGCCCCTGAATCGAAGAGGGCACGTAGCTCTTCCTGGGGAAATGTGCCGCGCAGATGGTCCTCTGGCCCTCACTAACGTTGGCGTTCTCCTGATCATTTACCAATTATCTCTGCGCATTGTTTTCTGCATGTTCAGAATTTCATTCCAGAATCTAAGTGCCACCCAGTCGCTCCTTCTCGCTATGACGTTGCTGCCGTTTACTAGGAAGGGTTGTGCGGTGTTTTGGTGATCCCCTGAACCGTTCTAGACAGCCTACATTAATGGTATGAAGACAACTTCATGTAGGGAGCAAAATTACAATGCTAGCGAACTCGTCTCTTTGTTGGCGAACAGCAAAGTGCTCTACCTGCGAAAATGGTAGAGCCCTCTGCACCCTTGCATGCCTTGCGGAGGGTATGAATCCACTAGATCCAAATAAACTGACAAAAGAATAACTCAGGAATGTCTCCAGCTTTTTGCCTTAGCGTCTGCTGGAGTGCGGTGCTGGCTGCCAACAGCCGGGTTTACGTTGGGTCAGCAAACAGAGTTTAAGTGCACACACTGCAGAGAAAACAGCGGGTTGAGGAGTACGCAGTAGTGCTATACACCCCTTCAGCATATGGGAAGAAATCAAGCCACTCTGAAAAGGTTTGCTAAGTACACGGTCGCAAATATTAGACAATTCTGACATGGCCAGTCCCCTTGCCTACACCACAATGCATCTCGGAAGAGATGTGCCCCGGATAAGTAGTACACTTGTTTGAATATAGCTGTCTCTGTTTTAACGCTTCCTCTAATAAAGAATATGCCAATACTGATGGTAGCGTAGCTCTGTTGAGCGCGTTTGTAAGGCGGCGTTGCGCCTCTAGCGAAGGAAGAAACTTCCCCGCTACCCCCCGTCACTTACCATATGTAGTCTGTCCACAAGAGAGGAGGCATTCCTCATGAATTGGTTCCGGTGTTTGGAGTTAGCAAAGGAAGGGTTTGTGTACTCGTGCGTGTGCTGGTGAATTGCAGCACTACCTCCACCGACGTTCGTTGCAACTCATGTCAGGTTGCCTCCCCCCAAGCCCCAGGCCCATGGGCCTCTATGCTGGGCGCTAGAAGAGAATATAGCTGGCTTTTATGAGTTTCCAGCCTAAGTCTTTTAGGTTGACTGCAGCGCACCACGCTCCCCCATAAGATCGCGCAGTGTCGCTACACCCAGTGAACAAGAGAGGGATTTGGAGGCGGGAACAGATCGCGCCCTGGCGTTAGCTGGAAGAGTTTAGATGAAGAGGAATTGAGTTACGTCTGAATTGGCGAGTAGAAAGCAACTGGATATTTTTTCCGTGTACGTACACCAGGGAGAAATCGTGCCGTCGATCAAGTGGAAGCGGGCGAAACCCTCGGACCGGAGCGGTTTCATTGAATAGGCAAAGATGGGTGTCAAAGAAATGCGCATATTGAGTTAATGAGATTGTTTTGTTTGTTTCATTCATACGCTGGCGCCGCTGCCTCTTACATTCTGAGGTGTATGAACACCCGAAAAATGAAACAAACAACAACAGCCCCAGGGTTCGGCGGCCTGCCCTGGAGAGGCTTCGGGGCTTTATGAAGTCTCAGGAAAACGTTTTCTTTCTGTGTTTTCTTTTCTCGCGATGCATGCGGGTTTTTCAGACTCCAGCAGTGTCTGTACACCTCAAATCCGAGCCGCAGGCGAACCGAACCACCGCCGTCGCTGCGGCTGCTCTTCGCCGATCTCCCGACTTGGGAGGCATTTTCGGCTTCTTTCTTCTCATGAAAATAAACTTTCATTGAAAGCGTTTCTTTTAAGACGCCTCAAGAGCAGGCATTCCGTTGAAAAACCCCAAATTCAATTTCGCGATCACCACGCGCCGCCGAGCAACTGTGGCAAACACACCAATGTAGCCTCACCGTGGACTTCTCGTTGCATTGCGCTTTCCGTTCCTCCTGCTGCTGCATGCGATCCCTCCGGACACATCTGTCAGCTTCGAGCCAGGAGCGGCAGCAGCAGCAGCAGCTGCTGCTGCCGCTGCCGTGACTTCGCAGCAGCAGCTCCAGCTGCTGCTGCTGCTGCTGCTCCGACTGTACAGCAGCGCGAGCTTGGGCGTGTGCCTTTGTTGTATGGGCATTAGCAGCGTAGCGAACACGACCAGCATCGTTCAGGGTGCATTTCTTCGTGTACATTCGCCTAGACGCTGCAGTAAAAAGAGGTTGTTTGCTCGCATGCATGTGTGTGTATCTTTAAATGAGTTGAATGTCTGATGAACAGCATTTGCGTTCGAGATGGACGCGCGTGACAGCCAGGGCGAGGGAACGTCGATCCCGACGTCTCCCACCTCTGCTCTTCTGGGGTATAGCGGGGGCCGCGCCTGTGGGGTGTCCTGTCCAGCGAGCAGCAGCACTCCTCCCGCTAGTTTGTCTCCCATTCTGCGCAAGTCCGGAAGCTTGACGTCTCCTCCTCCTGGATCAGCAGCAGCAGGAGGGGGAGCAGCAGCAGGAACAGCAGCAGGAGCAGCAGGGGGGGGCCCTAGCAGCAGCAGCTCCGCCAGCCGAGAAGACGACCGCCGCCGCGAGTTTCAGCGTATAAAGACGGTTTCCTTTGCGAACTTAGATAATGTAGGAGGAGGAGGAGGCGGCCCTGTTGGTGCTGCAGCAGAAGGGGACACCGCAGCGGCAGCAGCAGCAGCAGCAGCAGCAGCAGCAGCAGCAACAGATGCTGCTTACAACACGGGCGCGCGACTCGAAGGGGTTTCTTCTCCTGCACCTCCTCTCACTGATGATGAGACAGAACACCGCAGCGTTAGTGCTGTATCTGGGGCTTGGGGTTTGTATCCACATAGCTACAACAGCAGCAGCAGCAACATGTCTTTGTATATGCCTTTCGGTAGTCGTTTAAGTTCTTCTTATTTTTGCTGCTGCTGCAGCAGAGTGCTTCGTTGGTTTCGGCGTCTGGGCCCGGGCAACGACCTTGCCTTTCACACTAGGGAGGATTTGCTGCTGCAGCAGCAGCAGCAGCACAAGCGTCAAGCGCGTTTAATAAGCCGCAGCAGCACTCTGAGTAACAGCAGCGGGGCTGCACGAAGCAACAGCATGCGCGGCAGCAGCTCTGCAGAGAAGCTTTTAAGACCTTTCCCTCTTGCTTTTACAAGCAACGACTTAGAAGAACTATTCTCTCTGAATGTTAACCACTGGATGGGGGTGCGCATGCTACCTATGGGAGTGCTGCTGCTGCTGCTAACGCTTGCTATGTGGCCGCTGCTAGCCTGGAGCTTCGATCAGCAGAGTGCTTTTGATCATAAGAGCTCTATCGGAATTATGTTTAATATTGCTATGGGAATCACTATGCTCGCGTCAGCTGCACTTGCTGCTGCTGCATGCATACCCAAAGCAAAAGGATATGCCGAACACCTCACCACCATCGCCGTCTTCGTTGTAAGCTTCCCTCTGGGGTTTAGGGTTTAGGGTTTAGGGTTTAGGGCTTAGGGTTCGGGTGGGCCTCGGTGGGCTTGCCGAACTCGGAGGCGGGAAGAGCGGGGGGGAAAGAAGGAACGGAGGCCCGCTGAGCTAGACAGCTAGCTAGCTAGCTAGCTAGCTAGCTAGCCAACTGCCTAGCCAGCTAGTCAACTACCTAGCCAGCTAGTTAGCTACAGCCGGGAGGCGTATAGCGTGTAGGGTTTAGGTTTAGGGTGTAGAGTTTGCATGGTTGTAGCTAGCTAAGATGAGCTGCTTTCTTTCTTTTTGATCTTTATTCTTCTTGTTTATTGCTGTTGTTTGTTTATTCTTCTCAGCTAGTAACGATGTGGGGTGTATGGAACGGCGTTGCGAGTTACCGATTGGAGGCGCAGGTGGATGACAAAGACGAATTTCGTTCGACTGAAGAAAGCACAGCTTTAGAGGCCTGTACAGCGATGAGTTATTTGTATGGGCTTCTCCCCGTTGTTATTATTGATGTCGTCCTTCCCTCTAGGTATATATACATATATCTATATATTATGTGCATATATTGTGCATAAACCATATCTCTATTTTATGAATTTATTATATGTATATTGTATATTATACGTACACCTCTAGAGGCCTGTACAGCGATGAGTTATTTGTATGGGTTTCTCCCTGCTGTTATTATTGATCTCGTCTCCCGTCTAGGCATATGCAACAATAAATATATATATACAACAATAAATATATATATTATATATGTATATATATATTATATATTATATGTGTATATACATCATATATATTTGCCACAAACCCTAAACCCTAAGCCACAAACTGCATCATAAACCCTAAACCACAAACCGCAAAGCCTAAACCCTAAACCGCAAACCACATCTTATTATAAACCCTAAACACTAGACCTTAAACCCTAAACCCTAGATCCTAAACCCTAAGCCCTAGATGCACGCCTTGGGCGCCTTCTTAGTGGTGTGTCGGGATTTGTAAAGAAGTGAAGATAAACAAGTACTCATAAACAAATAAGATAAACAAATAGATATGAACTGATTAAATAAATAATAATTAACAAATGAGGGTAGATAAATATCGATAAACGAATCATCTGATAGCGAACAATGCACTAACAAACTCAAAACACACAAACAAACAAACAAACAAACAAACAAAACCCAGAGCGAATAAAATGCGTTGGGGGTTGTATTTATTAGATATGCATAAATGTATAATTATTGCTTTTTATATTTACTTAATAATTTATTTTAATTCTTCTCTTTTGTTTTCTTAGGACGAAGTACTCCTGGCTAATTCATATTTCTTTCTTCGGAACAAGCGCCACCACTATTGTGGTGAGAGGGGCTTTAAACCCGCGTTTTATAGCCCCTTCTTTTGTGTAAGTCTTCTTCTTTCTTTTTAATAATAATAATAATAATAATAATAATAATAATATTAATATTAATAGTAACAATAATTATGATAATGATAATAATAATCATAATATACATATGTATACATATGTATACATACGTATACATATGCGTACATATCTATACATATATATATATATGTATATATATAAATATATATACATGTATATAAATATATATATAATATATTTTTATTTATAAACAATGCATCAATGGGTGTATTTTTATTGATTTAAGTCTCCCTTGCTTTTATTCTTTGTTTTCTTCTCTTTGTAAATGCGCTTCCTCTTCTTTGCAAAGTTTGTTTTTTTCTTCTCTTTGTTTATAAATATATTTTGTTTTTGTGTTTGGATGCATCGTCATTCTTTTCTTCTTTATTCTCTTCTTTTTTCGTACTTCGCTGTGCAAAGTTTATTTTCTTCTTTTTTTTTTTAATTTATTTTTCTCTTTTTAGGGTTTGTGTTTGCATGCAGAGTAATTATTTTGTTTTTTGCTCATTCGTTTCCTTTTCTTTGCAAAGTATTCTTCTTTTTAATTTTCTTTTTTGATCTATTTTTCTCTTTTTTGTGTTTGTTTGCATGCATGCAGCGTCATTCGAGTTGTGACGTATTTCGTCTTGGCATTTTTTCTTTTTCTCGGTCGCTATGCAGCGGAGATGCATTTGAGACAGACTTTCCTAGGATGGTTGGTGGGTTTGAAGTAAACCCTAAACCCTTTTTCGTCTTTTTGTTCTTCTCTAGGGTTTATAAGGCAGGCCTATGAAGAGGGTTTAGGGTTTTCTAAGGAGGGTTTATGAAGAGGGTTTAGGGTTTTCTAAGGCGGGTTTATGAAGAGGGTTTAGGGTTTATGAGGCGGGCTTATAAGAAGGGTTTCTGAGAAGGGTTTATGAAGAGGGTTTAGGGTTTATGATTAGGGTTTAGGGTTTTGAAAGTAGGGTTTTTGTGTGCAGGATACGCGGCGGCGAGTGGAGAGATTAGAATCAGATTTAAAGCGGCAGCGCTCTCGCGGAGGTGTATCGACATCTTTAGAACACTTGGTTCAGTTAGTGAAG